GGGTATTTCTGGAGACAGGGTGTTTACTCCCAATTTCAAATATCGACGTTACTAACGCCAGCAACAACTGCAAACGCCATCACGAAGTTCGAACCAATAACTACTACAACGCAAAGAACAAATTTAGCTCTTTCAATGACCTTTTCCTTCTCCTAGACCGGTTGCCACCCAAGGCTATAGAACTCAGAAATCTTGCGAATATGGATGGTAGGGAGTAGAGATGTATTCACACCTTTACCTTAAGTAAAGGTAATGAACACGACTGGAATTCAAACACAATCTCTCATCTTAGAAATAGATAGATTCTGAAGGCCGGAGCGTATAATCGTTGAAACGCTGTGAATACGATTCCTCAATCCATTACTCGGGAAACGAGCAGCCATAGTGAATTTTGTAGTGAACAAAAAAAAAAAAAAAAAAAATAGATTTAAAATTCATGCTAAGCACTGACTCATTGATTTTGTTAGAAATTAAAAAGACTCGAATTTACAAACTTTGCTTAACACACACACAAAAGCGAATCCAAAAACAACTCGTGAAATTTCACACCTTGATGCGAAATGTTTTTCGGACAATAGAAAACATTTAAAAAACAAAATTCAAATAATCTTCAATTCTCAGAAACAAATTCTTTTACGGACCATTTCGCGAGCCGACGTGAAGTTTGTTCGTCGCCCAATGGAAAGGCCCGAATCATATCCGGGAGTGAATTCCCAAATGACCTTTTCAAGCCCCACAAACAAAATAAAAGATGGGGAAACTTCGCCTGTCACCGGAGAGAAGGAGACGGGCGTATTAACACGTCCCTTGACAAACGTCAAGCGATCGTTATTATCTACCTTTCTCCTTCACCTCTTTTATACTTGATAAACGAACGGAACATTTTAAGACTGAGCGATTACCTCAAAGACCTTCCTACCCTACGATAACGCTCATATATACATAAACTCATTCTTGCAAGAACTACTACGAACATTTTGACGACCTTGTTTCCACCAAAATACATTAATTTTATTTGTAGAGAGCTTAATTGATTTATATGTATATAAATTTGTTGTTTCACTTTACAATTTGATTTTCTTGTTTTATACCCCTCTTATGGTGGGATATCTAACTAACAAGGCCAAATCAAACTAATGTTTCAACACTCATACACTTCACTATAACTGATAATCCACAGTCTGTCTTCAGGTAGAAACAGCTCTGGTGATCTAAGGCCACAGTTATCGTATACTCAGTGTGGATCATTCTTGGGAAAATAAAAGAGATGGGCATGCTATGTCCCTTTAGGATATAGGCGATTACTCCGCTCCAACTTTATCTGCTAATCAACATTTCTTCCGGAGAAAAGAGTGGAGCGTTTTTTCGCTACCATCGCCACAGTTTCGAATTCGGAATATTTCTCCTAGACTAGCTACCACAAACAACTTAGCTTGCTAACCTATTTAAGCCTGCTTGTAATTTGCTGAAATATCAAGGGGTGATAAATGGTATTTTATATTATATTTGGAGTAGTTCTTGGGTTAAAATATTTAGCGGCCCGAAATATTTCCAATCTTTGAATACATTTTGCAGGTAATGGTTTCAATGTTATTGGAAATATAGATTTTTCGTTTATTTCTTAAAAACTTAAGTTCAGATATTTCCGTAAACTAAAGCCAGTTTCAGCGTTTCTACAGGATACAATATTATCCTGTGATACTGAGACGTCTTATTGTAAGTTATTACGTAATTTGATGGGTCAAGAATAGAGTTAGGGAAGATTTTATACAGTATATAAAGTTAAAGTGTTAATCCCAAGGTTAATTATTTACGAGATAAGTCTGATTGATAATGTATTAAAAACAAAAAAAAAAAAAAAAAAAAAAAAAAGTTTGGTTGTCAGATTCTGGGGAATTTCAGACCCTTTCACTTTCGTAGAATTTTTTTTTATTTAAAGAACGTTTAGAATTTTTAAAAATCATTTCACGAAAAGCAAGTTAATAAATCCACCAAGACACAAAGAGTAAAATAAGGAAACATTGAAGAACAAGAAGATGAATCCAGAAAACAATAGATAGCGATTGGCATTGCATTTAAATTTTTAAAGATCAAAGTTGGCTGGAAAACAAGAAGCCGGAAGAGAGTTCTACAGCCGAACAGAGAAGAGGAAGAGAAGAGAAAGCGAGAACAGAATTTCAACTGCGACATGAGACCGCGCTGCCAGTCTAGTACTGCGCTTAAATTCATATAGTCTAGCTATCATAATGGAAAATTCATCAGAACAATTACCATGAAAGTATTTATAGAAAAGGCACATGGAACCTACATTGCGGCGATGGCAAAAGCCAAGATGCCAGGTTAGAATCGATAACATTGCAGATTCTTTGGATTTTATCAAGAATCTCTAAGTATATAGCAGAACACCATATGTGGAAGCAATATTCAAAGAATGGACGAATGAGACTTGTAACTATGTGAGATTCTGCAAAGAAATTCTCTAGCCCGAAATGTTAGACCAACTTTTCTAGCAGCAGACCTTGCAATAGGTTCAATATAATCTTCATGTCACCAGAGAGAATTTTAGCCAATGGATGGTAGAAAGGAGTCTATCAGAAGATAGATAATTTTGTTCTAGAGGCGTTATCATTAACAAGTCATACCTTGTCCCAGCTAAGAGCAAATTTTAGGTAACTTGAAATCAGCTGCCAATTATAGCTTATCGAACAGAATTCTTATTGAAACAAGAGTAAATAGTTGGTCATCAGCATAGGTACAGAATTGAGATTTCTAGTATTAAAACAGAGTTGTATTTCAAAAGTTACCTGGTGCCAGACAGCTAAGTTTAGTAAATTAATCTTTTTTTTTTTTAATAACAAGTAGAACGAGATTAATTGAAGAATCAAATTTCATGATTTCGGTTTTTAACATTTGCAGAGAGCGATGCGAAAGGGGGGGATAAAAATCTGCTTCCGTGAGTGGTAATTAATCCTTGTACTTCCCCAAACTCCTATTCAACGATTACTACGAATAGAAATTCACTTCAAATAAACAAGTGCCCGAGTCTGGTATATTCATTATTCTGTGTTCTAAAAAAGATATTTGATTAGAGTAAGCATACACGAACATAGGAATCCGAATAAGAGTTCGGAAGACTTATTCCGTCGAGAGAGGCCGACAGAACAAGTGTTGGCATGTAAACCAAGTTTAGAATGGATAAGATAATTGTAAAATATTAATACATTATCACTAGACTTTCCCAAAATGGGGCCGTACGACGATCCCATGGTGAAATCATAACCAAGTAATGATCATTTAACATATACAACAACAAACTTTAATTTAAAATTAAGTGATGAGAAAGATGCGAGAAACATTTGGTTACTAACATGCACTGGGTAGTGGTATTAGCAGTTTCCTTATAAGGAAATTTCGGCAGATATTAATCGAGCGGCCAGTATTGTCAGTTTAAAGTTATAAAGTTTCAGTTGCTGTTATCGCTTTTTCTAGTATTGAAGGCGCGGGGGAGTGAGTCCTGCTTAACCTTTTTATTTCAAAAGGTGTAGGACATCAATATTTTGATTAACGTCATTTTCTCAGAGTTACGTGTGCTAGCCAGTTAAGTAGTGGCTGCTGTTAGTCCAAGATTTGGTACAATTCTTGGTTATTCTCTTTGTGTGGCGCCAGTCTACAATAGCCTCGTTACACACACACATATATATATATATATATATACGTAATCGATCCATTGGTATATAATCCGAGTGGATCCTAGTAATATTAATTATTAAAACTGATCCACAGAGAGCTTGATGTTTTTAATTTAACAGAGCATTTTTTTTTTTTACAGCAAATCCAAAAATTAACTCAACATCTGTTTGAAATAGTCTATTCCGATGTTGAGGTATTTTTTTTTTTTTTGGTGGTCTCTCTCTCATATATATATATATATATATATATTATATGAGAGAGAGATCTGCTGCGCATAGTCTGCAAGAAAGTTGTTTTAGTCACAGAAATAAATTCAAAATTGCACACGCTAATTCAGACTTGTGACCCCTAAAGGATTAAAAATTTGGAGAGGAAAAAAAATTCTTGTACCAAAGAATACAATAAAGTTTGTTTTTTTTTTTTTTTATCAAAAAAAAAAAATAAAAAAAATTAAAAAAAAAAAAAAAAAAGCGTTTCGGCATTTTATTTTTTTTTAACAAATTTTTATTTTATATGAACTAAAAAAATAAATTAATAAAATAACAACAAAGTCAGACAGTCCAACGGTCCTCTCCCCCACCACATAATGTTTTTCTTTTTTTCTCTCTCAACTACCTTCACTCTTCGGCAATGTTTGTTTTAAAAAGCTATGATGAGAATCATAATAAAACCTAAATAGGAAAGTGAGTTTATACTTTTTCTTTGTCATTGAGAATTAAAATAAACACTTCAGCTTATTTACACTATTATTCATTTTAATGTTGGCAAAGCATCGGTTATTGTCAATCGACTCGAACTTTATAAAATGATAAACAAAGATTTCCTTATATTTTGGCTCACATAATAATTTAATAAATGTTTAAGTTTATGAATAAAAAAATTGCTTTTATTTCTTTATAAAAATGGCAAATGATAAATATTGCATTAATTGTATTAGTTTTTTTAGCATGTAAATATAAAATTACTTTTGTAAAATCACAAAAATAAATATACAATTTTACTTTTAATGTGTGTTTCGGTTTTATTCCAGTTCTAAGCATCGCTTAACAGCAAAGATTGCCGAAGAGTGAAAATAGTTAAATAGAAAACAGTCCCTTGTGATATTCCGGGACAAGTTTTAACTGATAGGCAGTTCACGTCTCATACATCTTCAGTAGATTCAGCTTCCCAAAAAAGAAGCTTCCTACCAACAATCGAATTTCTCTGCCAATTTCGCAACACCTCATTAGGGGCCTGCAAACTAATTATATATGACAGACAAAGAGTTATGGGTTTGCCCTGTCCCGTACTCTATAAGCCCCAGAATTTGCTTTTGATCTGTACCAACAAACTGCAATTAGCAGAATGGAAACAATAGGAATGAGTACGGAGAGAGCGATTATTAGGGGTACATTAACCGTAATGGTGTATGACGCCGGGGTACCAGTTGTAACATTGTCCACGGGGTTATTCTGTATGGGAGGATATCCGTTGGTAACTTGCAGGCCGGCGTCCTTCGAATCTGCCATGTGTTGCCGAACGTCCTCTAAAAAAAAAAAAAAAAAAAATTAAAAAAAAAAATAAATTAAAAAAAAAAAAAAAAAAAAATTAAAAAAAAAAAAAAAAAAAAAAAAAAAAAAAAATTTAAAAAAAATAAAAAAAAAAAAAAATTATAAAATAAAATAAATTACGAAGGGTTAAAAAAAAAAAAAATGAATTTGAGTGGGGTACACAAAGGTATTACGAATTGGGGGTGGGGGCACAAATATTAAGGAAATAAGAATATTGGGTGGAGGACCCCCGTGACTAGATTCATTTGACACCTTGTGCGGCTGGACTATAGTGATTTACTAAGCGTATCTTAGATGTGACACAAGGTCGCAAGTATAGAGCTCCCAGCGAGTAATGAACATATTACTCCGTCGTAATTAGTTTAGCGAGACAAACTTGCTAAACATTATGCCAGGTCGAAGTTCCTTCCTTGCTGGGACGTGGTAACAAATTATAGAAAGAAAAAAAAACTTTTACTTCAAACGTTATTTTAGTTGATACCCGTGTTTGAAATAGACGCCTCGATTGTTTTCTTTAAATTATTTTAAACCGTGTCTAACGACTTTCCTGCAGAACACTTTCTCGAGTGCTATACATTAATAATCACTGTTTAAAATGAATACATGGCGTTTATTTAAACAACTAACAACTTAAATGTTTGAAATCTCTCTCTCTGAGACCTCCAGTTTTTCAAATTTGTTCATTTATTTGAACCCTCTCCTCTTCGTTTTAAAGAAGAATATTTTATTTTCCAATCTGCTCTTTTAGTCCAGACTTAAGGCAGTTCCGCCATGATCGACCACTCTGGAAAAAATATAGCTAAGCGATTCTTTCATTAGTGGACACAGAAGAGTTCTACACTGTATACCACTCAAGACTAAAGAACCTAATCTACCCTGCTAATTAACGCATTTTTTAAGAGGTTGTATCAGAAGCAACCAAAATTTGGAATTTTTCATTCTGTGCCAAGAACATTTATGCCAACCACAGCAAGATTTCCACTCCCAAGTTTTCTATCTGTTGTTTAAATCGCATCAACCCAGTTTGTTGTGAGGAAGAATCTCGAGTGACGTAACTAAAATACAAATTGGTTTAGTTTCGTGTCATATCAACCTCAATGGGTTATTTAATGCCAACAATTTTTTTTAATGTATTGCTGGTAGTAATTTTTCTCTTCAAAAATTTATTGCTTGTAATTTTTTTTTTTAACAAAGTATTTCTAGTATTAAAATCTTACTTTCATAGTGTTTTGAGGGTTAACTATTTGCCCATAGCTGGGACCCTAACAGGTGCTACCACCCCGGATTAGGATGAACATGGGAACACTAGCAATTAAGAGGTAGTTCCACGCTCCCCAAAAAGGCCTTGCTGTCGGACGTAGATTATAGTCTTACTCGGGACGGCACACGAATTTGGAATCGCTTTAGTTCTTGCGCGAGAAATTCAGTATTAACTATTTCTAAAAATACGTTTCTTTTTACGCGTACCTTAGTAACTAAAAAAGGAAAAACACACGCACACATTGCTTTATAAAAAGCCAAGTAGTAAAACAAACGTTGCAGCACTCCCTAAGAAAAGAGAGCCCTCTTTGGTTTAGCAATGTTTGAACATCAAGTAAAAAAAAAGTACGGAGATAAGCAGATTATGTAGCGAATATTAAGGCGGGAATTGTAATCGGTAAGCAGAGTAATTTCCTTTTAGAAAGGGTAGGGGAGAATCCATCTCTTCCTATACACCAGATATGGGTTAAATAGCAAGGTAGACTGGGCTCGCTAGCTTTGAATCACCAGAAAAAGAAAGGGAAAAAAGTTGAATTGATGAAGGTTACGGGAATCCATTCAACTATGTTCTTATGACTATTTTCCGAAGAACGCCAGGTAGGGTAGCTATTCCCCGGAAACGAGATTCGGTCCTTTGACAGTCGTTTGGGGATCCTCTGTCCGGAGGCAGAGAGTTTGACCAGCACAGCTGGAGACTAATCTCCGACTGCAGACCAACATACAGTATTTACTACTGTATTTATGTTAATGGGGACATAATCCATTATCGTCCGTAGGTATGCCACTATATATATATATATATATATATATATATGGTAGTACCATTTCGTTTGGAAAAGCCTCGGATAGCTCGAATTGTAGTAGAACAAATGGGAATAAAAAAGAACCAAGAACATTAAACCAAGGCGAAAACAATCGTCCAGAGTTCAAAGAAAAAAAAAAAAAAAAAAAAGAGTAAAAGGACAACTCCGTAAAGTGCTCAATACACTAAGTAGAGCAAAGCCTAAGATAATCCTAAGGAGCCACCATTGCTTATGGTCTGAATGGAGAAATCTAATGAATTCCAGTCCTTGAAAAAAGGCAATTAGAAGCCACTCCACTATCTTTCCAAGAAGATTCACTGATAAAGAAAATGAACATGCAGAGCGATGGTCGTCTGATCACGCTATCTTTCCCAAAGAAGTCATGGCAATCTGTGGAAAGCTAAGATGTCTTACGACTTGATGCAGCATGGAAAATAACGTAGTTTTGCAGTTGCATTTTTCTGCATGACGAATAGGTTTTTGTCCATCCATTTCTCCCCTACCTCAGGTAAGGAGTTAAAATACAAGGTAAACTATTAGCCCTGGGTGGTAGCCAGTCTAGAAGAAAAACAATTTAAAACCGTGGAGAAAGCAACGGGAACGGACTTCATTATATTTCCAAGAAATCATGGTAATTCACAGATAAAGAACCGGAATTTGCACAAGAAGGCAATTCACAGATAAAAAAAGGAAGCTGTAGAGATCCTGATGCGTTGTCGCAATATATTGGCGAAAATATTGCATATTCGGTATTTGATTTAAAGGCGGTGATCGAACAGCAAATAGTACCCAACGTACCCAGCTTCGAGAATTAGGAATTGCTTTTTGAACTTACCGTGAAGAGAAGTGAAAGATACGGCGGCAGAAGCTGTGTATTTGGCGAGGATGTCAATATTGCTCTGGTGACACGAAGACTGCAAGAAAATATTGTTCTTTAGAAAAAAAATTCCGTTAAGACAGAGTGACACACACACAGGCAGAGTGACACACACACAGGCAGAGTGACACACACACAGGCAGAGTGACACACACACAGGCAGAGTGACACACACACAGGCAGTGACACACACACAGGCAGAGGACACACACAGGCAGAGTGACACACACACAGGCAGAGTGACACACACACAGGCAGAGTGACACACACACAGGCAGAGTGACACACACACAGGCAGAGTGACACACACAGGCAGGACACACACACAGGCAGAGGACACACACACAGGCAGAGTGACACACACACAGGCAGAGTGACACACACACAGGGACACACACACAGGCAGAGTGACACACACACAGGCAGAGTGACACACACACAGGCAGAGTGACACACACACAGGCAGAGAGACACACACACAGGCAGAGTGACACACACACAGGCAGAGACACACACACACACACAGGCAGAGTGACACACACACACACACAGGCAGAGTGACACACACACACACACAGGCAGAGTGACACACACACACACACACACAGGCATGACACACACACACACACACACACAGGCAGAGTGACACACACACACACACACAGGCAGAGTGACAAAGAGAGAGAAGAGAAGTTATTCATATTATTATCCATTGCGCCTGTAAACACGAGAATGGTTCCCAGGAGACAGATTTATGTCGAGTCACGCCAGGTAGCAAATGGTCTCGGTGACGGCACCGAAACATCCCAGCACCAGGAAAAAAAAAAAAAAAAAAAAAAAAACGCAGTACGTTTTTTATAACCAATTAAAAGTTATTAAGGATTAAAAACCTTAATTAGTGGGATTTTTTAATTATACCTTATAAATGAAATTGTAGAGAAATTTATTTTTTTTTAATAAAGTAAAAAAAAAAATTTACTGATAAAGTTTTTAATCCTTAATTACTTTTTTATTCAGTTATAAAAATGTTGTTCTGATCCAGAGTTGTCCCGCACCCTCTTGATGATACAGACTGGCAAAATGTAAATCTACAGCAAATTCCAGCACACACATATATATATATATATATATATATATATATATTACACACCTTTATCTGCTAAGGCCTTAGAAATTTATCACCATACCCTATCCTTGTTTTTAAATTATTTCACCTCAATCAAGGTAATAACGCCACTATGTCACAAGGGGGTTACTGAATGTAAAATAATCAAAGAGAAACACATGCATGTAAATTTTTGAAAGCCAAAAGTTGACTTGGTGTGAGTTCCGACAATTTGGGAAGTGCGGGATAATCGATAGTATCGAAATTATGATAAGAACGAGCTATTTCAACTGTAAAAAAGTGATGAGACCTAGCTGCTCGTCTGCGCTTAAATTCCTAATATTGTAGTATCAAAGATGAATGCTCACCAGAACAGTTACCATGAAACTTTAGAATAAAAAAAAAAAAAAAAAAAAAAAAAGTACATGGACGCTACGTTACGGCGGTGGGAAAATGACCGAAGCAGATATGCCACGTCAGGATCCATAAAGTTGCAGATTCTTTGGATTCGGTCTAGAATCTTTAAATACACAGCACTCTTGCCAAGACAATAAAACCGTATGTATTTTTTTTTTATACCAATCTAGTCTCTCGCGAAATATCAGTATAAGAAACTAATTACACCAGAAATCCCAACGAAGAATCAGTAAATAAAACCCACAATCCGAGACCTTATTTTGTCATACCATTCTGATGAGAGAGTTGTAGGTCTTGGCTCCATAAGAGACTGCCTACGGAGACTGATTTTATAAGCGTAGCTTAGGTGTGGCTGCAAGTTTTGGGGGGGGTCAACCCAACGATAATCGAACTCGCTACTCAATTGAGTTAGCGAGAAAAGCTTGATAATCATTACAGCACATCGAAATGCCTTTTGTTTGGTAAGCGTAGCTTAAATGTGGCACACGGCCGAAACGGATGTACCCAGTGAGAATCGAATTCCCTATTCAGTCGTAACTGTTCTAGCGTGACAGGCTTGTTCACCATTACATCACATCGGAGTGCTCTCGACAAAGGAAATATGCTAATATTGAATTTCGTTTGATCCCCTGTGCTAGACTGAAAGATCAAGTTACTACTTACCCCATTACATTTGTTTTTGCAGACCCCAAAGGTGCAGTTGACGAACAAAGAACCGTCGTGCGGAACTGGGAACGAGAAAACTGGACTCCAAGACACGATTCCTTGTACTTCGAAACCGGTGTGTAGCGGTAAGAGGGAACCAGTGCCACAGCTGAAAAGTAGGAAATTAATTTTCATGGACAGGATGCGATTAGTAAATTGTCGCCATTTTATTTATTTTCGCGCATGCGCCGCTTATTTTTTTTATTTTGTTGACTGCACAGTATACTAGAGTCCGTTGGGCACAGTGTGTGAGAAGAGCCCCATGACGAAATTCACTCAGCCAGAAATTTGGAAACGGCATGCTGTACTGTGTCATTCGCACCGGAAGCTCCAATCCTTAAATTTTAGTGTCAATCTGAGGTCTTATAGGACTTAATGGTAAACAAAAGAAAATTTATTTTCCTTTTTAACAGCGAAGAATAAATTACGGTTTCTTACTCTTAAGCATGCAACAAAACTGTTCATGCGTAAATATTTTTCTCTATGCAAATTCAAAATTTCCTTGTGATTTGTTTATAGTTCTCGCAAACACAGGGCGAACAGGAAACTGGATTCTTGTATATAAAAAGAAAGGAAATGTATACAAAAACAATATTGCATTTTTATTAAAAAAAAAAAAAAAAAAAAAAAAAAAAAAAAAAAGTATTTATGTTAATCATTTTTTGTTTTAAATAGGGGAATATTTTGTATGTTAAATAAAACTTATTTTTCCCTCAAAAATGAAAATTTATTTTACCGAGCCACACACCCAACTGAACTTGCCCTTCTCGCCAAATTTTGGTTTCGATCGTTTAATGTATGGCTATTTTTAGAGGGTGTTACGGAAGACATGGAATATTATATAGAGAGATAGATGAAAGTCACCAGTAATGGATATAGGCGTTGGATTGGAAGTTAATCCCTGGATCAGTTAGGGAAATTATATACTATTTGTTTTGCAGGAACCCACAAGCCGCCACATTACAGGGACCGAAATAGTACAACTGGTATCAGCTAAAACAGGGACCGAAATAGTACAACTAGCATCAGCTAAAACAAGGAAAACTTGAAGATAGTAATATCTAGTAATTTGAATAATATTGATACGACTTGCAAAAATTCCAATCATCGCGACTTTTTATAAGTCTTTCAAAATGGTTCTTAGAAAGACCAATTTTTCTACTTACCCATTGTCTATAATAAATTGAACTTCCGAATTGGCAGACATGTGGCATTCGATAGGCGAAACTCCATTAATTTCAAGGCGAGGATCTAAGTAAAAGGAATAAGACCATTTAAGACACGAGGATTGAATTTCAGAATAAGTTTAATATCGCAACCTGCTTGATAGACTAATGAAACTCGATTAATATTAAGCTTATCACGACCTGCGTGATCAAGATATATATAAATAGAGTACAATATTTTACAGGGTGCGATGGGTAAATTGTCGCCATTTTATATATTTTTTTTTTTAATTTCGCACATGCCAATACGAAAATTTCAGTGTTCGAGTTTCAATCTGAAGACAGTGCATAGGATTCGCAACGAGTTGGATGAGTCTAATGGTGATTACGAAGTTGTTTGAAGTGATCACTAGTGATGACGACGTTATGCCTCCAGTCATCTTCCCACAAAGCCTCAGTCTCAACACTGAGGCCTACATCAAGTGCCTGGAGGAGATAGTGCTGCCCTGAGTCAATAGGGTGGCTGCTAGAAAACCCTATGTCTAGTGACAAGACTCAAGCAAGGTAATAAAGTCACTATGGCGTAAATAGTTATTGGGTGAAAGAATAAGACAATATTAAGGAAAGCGGACAAGAACCATGCCTAGCAAGCAGGAGTACCCAGTCATGGCCGTCAGACAATTTCTGCGGCAACATAACCCCTTAAATGTGCCCACCTAACCCACTAGAATGCAACCCCCTTGATTATTATATGTTGGGCAGAGTTGAGCGGGATATCAAAACTCTTTGTAACACCAAAGACATTCACCAACTTAAAGAAGGAGAATCTCCAGAAGAGTTGCAGGAGATTTCGAAGTCGTCTGGAGGCTGTTGTTGAAGCCAATGGCGATTTTATTAAATAAATTTACTCTTTAGTAAATAAAACGTTTACAAAATGACTTATTTTCATTTTAGCTTAATTTAGACAATTTATCAATCGCACCATTTAAGTTCTCCGTAAAAAATGTCGAAGAAAGATTTGATCAAAAAGTATCAGGACTGCTGCTATGCGAACGGTGCTAAAATATGCAGAATGAAGCTGCTTGGTACAAATTGAGCTTGAACTGTCACGCATGCGTACTAAGTTATAACTGTCGCTCACTTCCGTTGAATATAGCAGAGCTTGGAAGGGAATTGGTCGTTTTACCAAATCAAAGATTCCATCAGTGACTAGCTAGTTCAGTGGGTTTGGGGGTTAAGCATAGTATTCCTCAAATTCTTCAACTATCATTTTCTCTTGATATCGCCCCCCACCTTTGCGAGAAAAAAAAAAAAAAAAAAATACCCCTAAAAAGGAACAAAATTTCAAGACGTCGAAGAACAAGAGAATGGAACCAGGCAACTGCTCGCTATCCCCACAAAACAGTTCAAAAAATGCTTCCATCAAGGGAAGCGACGCTGGATAAAATGTACAGCTTGAGAAAGGGAGTACTTTGAATTAAATGCCGAAATGCGAGTTTTTTTTATGGTACCAGTCCAGATACATTTCTTCAAACCTCGTATAAGATTAGCAAATATCAAAATCGTCTGACAAATTCGTCTGACAAATGTCAATGACAAAAACTTAAAATATTAAAAAGTATCATTGTGCTTTTCTTATAAAATGTTACTATTTCACATTGACTATAAATCGCTTTAGTTTACGTCCCCCCCCCCCAACGAGGAGACAGGTTCTTAAATCCTTTTTCCGTCAAGGACTGCTCATCAGTAAGGCACTTCATAACTTCGCCTGACAAGATAAAACAGGATGATTTTCGCTCTCTCAAGGGGACAGAAAGCCTACGTCTGTGTGTCGTGTGTCTCTTCAGAGCGTGGACAACCATGGCTTTCCACAATTTCCTGTCCTTCGTTACTTGTCTGTCCCTCTCACCTTAACGAAGCCCTGTGAGTATCATTTTCTAAACCGTCTTTCCTCATGTACGAGCAATTTTGTCTTTCTGGTAAGTATACCTTTTTCCATTTTCTCGAAAACGCTGCCCTTGCTCACAGATTCAGACAACGGTATTCTCAGCATCCTCCTGCAGAATTTTTTACTTAAAGTCTTTTTCATCTGTGAGGATATTGTCCAACATTCACTGCCATATATGAGGATGGTTATTACATAACAGTTCAGTGCCCTTTTCTTTGTTCCTAACGAGATTTGTCTGGTAATTCTTTAACTTACCAATCTTTAAAAATTGGTTTTCTGCTTTTTACTCTTTTGTGGAGAGAATTTAATGTGTAGCAGTCTAATTTACTTTTAGTCTGAAGGATAATTAGTACTAGATTAACAGCGAGGTCTTATTTTACAGTTTAAATGGCTAGATGTAACCGTAAGTTACATGCTAACAGTTTCTTCTCTCGCACTTCTCACTTGTAGAACACTTCCGGGTCCTTGCTTCCCAGTCAACTTTGATCTTCAAAAATTTAAATGCAATGTCAATTATGTTCTGTCTGGTTCTTTTATTGACCTATCTCCTTAATAGTATTTTTCTCATTCTCTTACACTCCATAACCCTTTGCATCTTAGTGACTTTATTGCCTTGCTTGGAGTGAAATGATTAAAAAAAAATACCGATTTATCAGACTGCCGAAGCCACTGGCGATTTTAGTTTATTTACATTACAGGGTCGTTTTATATATCATTTTAACTCCAGCAAGGCAATAAAGCCACTATGACGGGTTACTTGGCGAAAGAACGAGAAAACAAAACATTAAGGAAAAAGGACAATAAAAGAACAGGTTTCAATGAGATAAGATTACGATTTACATCGCATTTAAATTTTTTTTAAATCAAAGTTGGAAAGCAAGATGCCAGAAGAGAGTTCCACAAGCGAGAAATGCAGAAGAAACTTAGCATAGAACTTACGGTTGCATCTAGCAATTTCAGCTGTAAAATTGAGACTTTGTTGACAATCTAGTACTGCGCTTAGATCTGTCATGTCCAGGTACGAAGGAGGATAGATCAGGCCAATTACCATGAAAATAGGTTATAGAAAAGGCAGAGGGAAGCTGTTAAGTCGGTTGAAAAGGAACTGAAACCGAGATGCCAGGTCAGGACCGATAACAGTGTAGATTCCTTGAATTTTATCAATGATAATATAATTCAGAGAGAAAACTAGTTTCCTTCCATAAGCGAACATTGTAATCCGATATATTCTTAAAATACATAAAACTGCTATTCAGCATATATTGTTGATATCAGTTATGCTTTAAAGAGTACGATTTTGTGGGGGGGTGAGGGGTAATCTTTCTAGCTGCAGCGCAGAAATGGCCACGTAACTACAAATTATGAGTTTCAGTTCAATGCCTTTTACGCGATAACACCTAAACAATTCCATTCAATTTCCCAAGCGCCACCATTATAGAAGGCAAGAAATTTTTTTAAAAAAAAAGGGTAATTTACTTACTTTTCATCAGAGAGTAAATCTGAACGTTGGCAAAGTTTGTGGAATTGTCGATCTCCTGTACTTGAAGGCTCATCAATATAGTTTCCGGTTCCTCAGGCTTAATCATGGTGTCTGAGTGCAACTTCAGGTCAGCCAAATTGGATGGCTTTTCTACAGGTGTAGATTCCTTGTTTTTGAATATCAAGTCATCCCTTGAAAGAAATTTAATTTAAAGCAGACAATGATGTTAAATTCAGCCGGTGATAATTTTGTTGGCATTTCAAGGGTTAACGAAATCCTTAGCTTGTTTCCATTTAGTGAGTTTCTGATAATTTGTAGGTTACAATGTCGACGGTTTGTTATTGACAAGTGCAAAGAAGGTGGCGAAACTGTCGGGAACACTGCAACCCACGCGCGTGCACGCAACAAACCAACCAAAGCAAGCAAGTAACCCACACGCAAATCTGAATGTCTTAGCCAAATATCCTAATTCGGCTTATTTCAGGGTTCGGGCTTCTTTTGAAACAAATATTTACAAATCTATTTTAAAAAAATATTAGTTTTAAAATGTTAGATCTCGATTTCAAAATTAAATGACAAAAGGTTAGACTGACAAACTGAGTCTTGTGTCAGTTGTCCTTTTGGCTTGGATCAAAGCATAGTATCTGTTCTCACATGAGAGCACGGTCCCCGGGGACACGAACACTGAAGCAGCAGCATCCTCTCCATCGCATGAAGAGGGGGGTTTGGTCGGAATAATATCAACGCCAGTGTGACAGCGGTTGCGGAGACAGAAGTTTTTTTGCTTGCTATGTGTTCAGTGGTTTTAGGACGTTGCTTAGAAGCTGGTGTTTAGCTAAAGAAAGCTAAACATGAGGAAAATTACTAATTATTAATGCGCAGAATCCTGTATGATGAAAACGGAATAATAGTCTGTCTTGCGAGACGCAGACAGTTCCAAAGTACAAAAATACAAACCTGTTAGAAATTGTCATCTTTGAAGGCGCATGAAATGCAATCGGACATTTAACGATTTTGGTTTCAATTTTTGAAGTCACTAGATTGTCCTGAATCGGGATGTTCACTTGAACAGCGTAGTAATTCTCTTGAAAGACAAGCTAACAAAAAAAGATTTTTTTTATCAAAAACATATACATCCCAAAAAACTACAAAAACGAGAACAAAAACACAAAGTTTAAAAATGGGAAAAATCTTTAAACTTATTTTTTTTTTCCTAAGCGTTTCACCCCAAGCAAGGCGGAAAGCCACTAGGACGCAAGGGGTTACAGAAAATTTAGAGCAAGATCAGATAGAGACCCCTTCCTAAACAAGAAACAAGGCGTAAGCCTCTACTCATGTCCAAGATTTTAGTTTTAACTTAAAGCTACAAAAAGCTTAATATTTACAGTATGCAAATTACTTTGCTGTATTTCTAAACGAATTTAAATTGACTGTAATGGGTTTTTTTTTTAATTGCTGATTTTTGACATCTGTCAGTACAATGTAATTATTTATTAAAGAAGAAATCTTTCAAAACTAAAAAGATACTTTCCTGAAACGTTAAGGAATGTTAGTTAAAATTTACTTTAAAATGTCGGAAATGTATTTAACACAAATGCTAATGAAAATGTAATATCTTTGTTTAAATCAAAAATAAATTTATAAAGAAAAAGTTTTTGCGCCAACGAAGGTGAAACTTTGCCAAAGTTTCGACTTCGCCAGTGCAAACAGACGGTACGTCAAAAGGGCGGTTATTCCCTAAAAATTGCTTTTAGTTTATACACTTGACTATTTACAAAATAAAATGTTCAAAACTTAAACATTTTATGGAGAAAGCACAATGCAGTATTTCTTTATATCGCTAGCCACTCGTATTCTATACCTTTTCAGCTTCTAAATGGAACAAATCAACCCCTAAATGGAACAATCAACTTATCAAAAAACTTATTTTGAAGCTGAAAAGGTATAGAATACAAGCCAGCAATATAAAGAAATATTGTTAAAAAAAAAAAAAAAGCCTTGTGCCACATCCTGCCTCGCGGGGAGGTGAGGTAAATAACGAAGGACGAAATAACACTGGATTTTTTTTTCTTTATAGTCATTAAATTACGAACAATTGCTCTTGTGATACTCATGGACACCCACCTAGAAAAAGGAAGGTGTTTTTTTTGTTTTTTTTTTCTTCTCGATCTTTTAATAGTCAGCAGATGGTTAATTTTTGAAGGCTCGTCTTGTAATTGACATTGACCGAAGGGTAACGGGAAAGGAAAAGAGATGAGGATTTAGGACAACTAAAACCGGAAATCGGGTATATCCGCGTGGTTTCGATACTGTCTATTCACATTGCCATACACGTGCCGAGATGTGTCGACAGACGAGGAGAAACGCCGAATAAAGCACATTATATATATATATATATATATATATATATATATATATATATATATATATATATAATGTTTGGTTTGTTTAAGTGGCACATCTATTCGTTATGGGTCATTTAATGCAGAAAGTTTAAATTTTTTGAGCTTTGGTAATGTTTTTACAATTTACTTATATTTTAACCAAAGTTTGGGGTGTTAACTATTTGCTTATAGCTGGGAGCTTAAGAAGCTTCTACCAGCCTGGGTCAGGGTGAACAATAGCAATTAAGGTGGTTCCACGCTCAAAACCTGCCGATGAGAGGCCTTGCTGCCAGAAGTAGTTTATCGTTATACCGAGGACGCATATTTAATATGGAAAACAGGGTTAGGGTTATTACTTGACGTGGTATTTGTCTTTCATGTGGGCATGCAGCAGGCTCTTGATCAATTTTCGGTGGGATTGGCCTATCTCCCGACTCTCGCGTCGAATTCGACGTATGAGGGTCAAGCAGATCAGTTCCTAGGAAACCGACAGCCCGACACCAGCACATGAGATTTGATTATAGTGTTGAAGGTTTCGTGCAGGACCATCCACACTTTTTGAACGGCCGAATACAGAGACATGGTGCACTAAGTGCTACAAGGTCCCCAAAACGACCCTCCGCAGGTTTTGAATTCAGAGTTGTCCTTCCCCTAGACCAGTTGCCATCCGAGGCTATAGAACCCAGTCTGTCCTGCTATTTACCCATAGCTGGAGGGAGAAGAAGAGGATTCACACCTTTCCCCAAGGGTATTAGCATGTAAGTGAATGTAATGGATTCGACTGGAATTCGAACTCTGCTCTCCGATTCCTCAATCCAAGCCGCTATCCATTACTCCACCGTGCCATATATAACTTCCTTACCATTCACATTCGAGACCATAGGGATAAACTGAAGTCCACACAGAAGAGATTAAACCCTTTTCCAAGAACAAAAAAAAAAAAAAAGTACTAACCGTCGAGAGGCAGTCTTCATTTGGGTCACCAGAATGGCGAAACCGGAGTCTGTAGACACCTACAGAGATCTGAACAAAACTGTACTCTCTGCCCCGACACAAGGCATAAGGATAAACAGCATCTTGATCGGACAGAATTATGATCTCACCAAACGCAGAAGGACCATCGGGACAAAACTGTGTCACTGAAAATAAAGTAACAGAAAATTATTCTAATTCACTTTAATGTACAGAGTGGTCCTAAAATCTTGTCACCCCCCCCTCCATATAATTTCAAATGGCTGACACGAGCTCCTACAGTTTGGTAGAGAGGCTGCTTGCAAGTGTATCGGCACATGACAGTGTATTTTGGCAAGAGCAAGTAGAAACTTTTACATGAAAGATACCAGGATACCCATCAATTGAAGGACGCTGTTCGGAGAGCCTTTCCAGCAATTAACAAATCACAGCTTCGTAAAATATCACACGACATGGTGCCGCATCATTTTGTACCACGAAAATGGCGTTCATACAGACCTTCTCAATATGTGACAACGTCCATGAAAGTGAATGAAGTGAATCCAGTCCATGTGTTTTGTATTTACTGTATTACTTATTACTTTTTGAAAGGAGGTGACAAGACTTTCCGACCACACTATATATTTATTCATATAAAATACAATTTTTTGATTGGGATATTTTGTAACTTTTGGGCATCTAAATTTTTTATTATATATTTTATTATACATTTTATTATATATTTTATTATATATATTATATTTATGTATGTATGTATGTATTTATCTCAGATGGTGCATTATATAAAAGGGTAGTCCGAAAATCTTGTCGCCCCCATATAATATAATTTTCTATTTCAATCCTCTGTGGTGGGGGGTATTATCAAGGAGATAATTTCACATGGACGGTACCAGAATACCCATCGGTTGAAGGACATCGTTCGGAGAGCCTTTCCAGCAATAAAAAAAAAAAAAAACACAGCTTCGTAAAATATCACACAGGACATGGCACCGCATTAGTTTGTGCCGCGTAAATGATGGTGTTCATACAGACCTTCTCGATATGTAACAGCATCAATGAAAGTGAATAAACTGAACCCAGTCCATGAGCTTTGTATTACCGCATTACTTGTCCTATTGTTCTCATTACTTTTTGATATGGGGGGGGGGGTGATGACAAAACTTTCCGACCACCCTGTACTCAATTTGCTCGCTGAACTCCGGAAAGAACTACGAGAAAAACTGGGAGAATGCTACGATGCATGGCGTAGGCTAAACGTAATAGGATCCATGGCCAGTCTGCCACTGCCGAGAGTATCAGGTTGCCCGATATACCAAAAATGCAATAAAGAAACAGTTTTAGTAATAAAAAGGAATTAGAACTTTATAAAGTTATCTACACACTATCAGTTACTCAAATCCAGTGAGAAGTTATTTTCAAAGATCGTAAAGACAAATTTAAGAAATTCGCTGTGAGAAGAATTTGGAATTAGACATGTTGCTATCCGTTAAAAATGAGAAATTGTTTGATGAAAAAGCAGTTATCTTTGAAATAATTTTTAAAATCCCACTTTAAAATAGTGAACGAGGTAGGGGTCGTCTTCCCGCAGCGAACGACTCTTACAAAAAGAGATACATTTTAAATCTATAGCTTAGACTAGGTTAGGCGTAGGGTTTTCCTATTTAAACTTTCAGCTCGAGAGGAAGTGAAAAAGAGTGTCAGAAGAAAAGAATTTGAAGAAAATGAAAAGAAAAGTGTTCGAAAGATGGAAAAAAAAAAAAAATAGAATTTGAAGAGATTGAATTGACTGTTAAAAGATATTGTAACAAGATTTGTTATTGTAAAGAAAAAGGTTCAAATGAAAGATATGTTAAGTTGTCTGCTTGTAAAAGGATACATGAATAATGTCTGTTTATAGAATGTAAGTAAATCTTATTTGTTTGTTCTTTTCGTTACTACTCTGCATATGGAACAATATGCATTGTAATTTATTTTAAGGAATAAAAATTTCTGTGAACTTTACATTATAGTTATCCAATAATTTTAAGATCGTCTGCTTCTTTGAGTAATTTTGGTATTGCTTTTTTACGAATAAGCCGAGAACAAAATCGGCAGTGTTAGTTTTCTTGTGCATTAATATTAATATATTTAATTGTAATTTAAATATATAAATATAAGATCGTATATGGGTAAAACTTGAATGTGATCGAGAATTACATTTTTCATTTAAATTTGGGTTTTTAACATCACCCACCAACACATACCACCTTTTTTTCTTCAACGTCCTTCGTGACAGTTCTTGTTTTTGATAATCTTCTAATTCGTGCTATCTTAATTTTGATGATTTTAAAGCAAGCTTAACTACAAAGATCCTTACGAAAATTCAGTTACGAAAGCGATTCTGACTTGATTAATAAATTTAAAATTATATATATATATATATATATATATATATTTTTTTTATTTAATAACTATTTTTGCTCAATTGTTGACATTAATAAGTATTTACTGATGTGTTAAAATTTTGGGATACAATAATAAAAATTTAAATTTAATCTGGTAGATTTCGCGATCTGTAAGTAATGATAAACGTTCTTTATTTTAGATTCAACGCTTTTGAAAAAGAAGCTTACCTCTTACAAAGTCGTCAGTGATGGCGTAGCTCAGCACCTGTAGTATACGAATTCACATTTAATAAATATGAATTTTTATTAAAATCATAATACGACGTAACTTAGCTAGTTAAAAACGCATTCGTTTTACAGAAGGTAGTAAAAGGAAAGTCGGAACATTAACCGCAAAAAAAAAAAAAAAATCCCAACATGCAAGGTCCCCCCCCCACCAATCAATACAATCGCAACCTCTAAGTCTAGGAGTTAGTTATCTTAGATTTATCTAATCTTTACAGGGAATTAATTCTGAGAGAATTAGAAGTCCTACCAGAATGTATTATTGGCAGCTACAATATTACCGTAACTTGGTTGATTTTTTTACCGGATTATCAACACTTTCATAAAATTTATTGTTGCTCATTTTACTATAAATTAGGTACTGTCTATTTCTGAAATGAGGTATCATGTACACTATTTACATTATTCGGACTATTGCCCTCATCTTTGTCGCCATATTTATTTCAACGTTTCGGTCCTTCAGTATCTGTATATTTCTGAGATGAGGTATTATGCACATTATTCGGACTATTGTCCTCTTTGTCACCATATCTATCACAACGTTTCGGCCGTTGTACGCTCCGGCCTTCAGGCGATTGGAATGTCGAACTGAACCCTTTATTTCGCTCACTGGGGGTAGATTGTTCTAGTTCCACGTGCCATGTTTAATGGATGTCAATTATCAGTTATCTCCTGTTAATTCACCTCTCAAAGTTCTCTACTGCCTTAACCGGGTATTGAACTCACTCTGAGGACACATGGCACAGTGGATAAAGGCGTTGGTTAGATCCAGTGACAGGACCCAAAGAGTGAGTTTTTTTTTGGGGGGGGGCACTATTTTCCCCATTAGCCGGGACCCTAACAGCTGCTACCACCTTGCATTAGAGTGGACTTGGGTACAACAGTAATTAAGAGGTATTCACACGCTCCTCAGAGCCTCCAACCTTCCAATCAAATCTTGCTACCGTATAAAGTTTATCGTAATGCCAGGACTACTACAATAACTACAGAAAATAGTAAAAGAAAGTACGAAAGGGCAAAACATCAATTCTTAAGCAATGTGCGGTTTCCAAAAAAAAAAAAAAATCACAACGACCGAAACGTCGTGAATATAAACAAAATGTGGACAATAATCCGAACAGTGTAAATTGACAATTATTGTTAAGATATGAAGATCGTACTGCGTCAGTCTTGTACCGTCTTGCCCTGTGTTTACTAAATATTTGGCGTCACAGAGTCCTAGTTTTACGACTTAATGGCGATTTGATAAAGAGAAAACTAAGAACCTTTGCCAAGATGTCATCCTATTTTCAAATGTTACTAGGTCAAGAAATACTAGCCCCTCAGTAGTTAAAACGGAATTAGTACTTTGGTTTAAGTGGCAGAGTAAAGGGCTGGTGGTGTAGACGACGGCTAGTACCGTTTATTAGTTTAAGATTTATCCTGATTAAAAAGGCGTCTTCAACAAATGCAAGTACCAAGATAATTCAATACAACCTAGCTAGGATATTATAGTTTCCCTAACCATTTAATATTCAATGACACACAATACGTTGGGTTTGAGTAGCAGACGAAATACTAACTTTACGTCACCTGAGATTAAAAATAGTCTATCCGCAATTTTCGGGTTATTTTTTCTTGTATGATCTCCATGCAACGCCCGATATGACCACTTAAGTTTTGTACAAAAAATTAATCCGGATATATAAGGCACCAGGTTCTTTTAGGCATGTTTGATTAAATAAATTACAGACATTATGTTTGCTTATTTTTAATAAAAGCCTTTCATACTCATGAATAACCTTCCGTATATTGCAATTAAATGACGTGAGAAATTTGCTATAACTATAAAAATGTTTTTTATTTTCCATTTCCCAAGTACTTTCGATCTCTTTTTGGAGATCATCTTCAGGGCTGTACGTAATACAGAACTGTGATGTTCACGGGTGCAAGTAGTAATTTAAAACTTTTTGATATCCATTACTGCAATTTTTATTTTTAGTTTTAAATGCAACGGTTGGCAATCATGCGCGCAATAAGTGAACATAGAAGTCAACACTTAGAGGTGACAGTGTTTCATGCTATAGGCAATCGTCAGGCCACGATTGCATATAGCATGAAAGACTGTCGCCTCTAAGTGTTGACTTCTATGTTCACTTATATTTACACACGCTCTATCTGATATTGAGCACTTTATCCCATAAATATAGCACATCTTATGACTATATTTCATATATATATATATATATATATATATATATTCGTCAGTTTAGGAGACAAGTTATTGTTAACAAAATCTGTCTAAACTACAAAGTGCAGATAGAACCTTTATTTCGAGCTAAAGATTTTCGGCTGTGGAAAGACAATATTGAATAAACTGCTAAGAAAAATTCTCTCGACAGAATCTAACTTACATATTTATAAGTCTACCATTCGTCCTTGCTTTGAATATTGTTGCCACATTTGGTCTGGTACTCCTCATATTTATAGATTCTTGATCAAATACAAAAATCGGCAATGGCTTTGGTCCTGGCCTGGCATCTTGGCTTCAGTCCTTTTTTCAACCGTTGTAACGTAGTTTCCCCCGTGTCTTTTCTACGAATACTTTCATAGTAATTGTTTGGATTAACTTTCCTCTCTGCTATCTAGGCTTTATGTATTTAAACACAATGCAGCAAGGTTTCATTTTACAGTTGCAATGGCTAAATGTAACCATAAGTTCTATGCTAACCGTTTCTTTTCTCGCTTGTAGAAGTCTTCCGACTTCTTGCTTCCCAGTCAACTTTGATCTTCTAGAAATTAAACGAAATGTCGATCGTTATCGTCTGTCTTAATTCTTGTTTTATTGTGCTCTCTTTAATTGATTTTCTCATACTTTCTAATACAGTAACCCGTGTCTTATTGCCTTGCTTGAACATACAAAAAAATTCTCCGTTCCCTCATAAAGGAATCATTTGACATTCATTCATCGTGTAGCCAGTACTGCTGTCGGTTAAAATTTATAAAGTATTTCTCTTAAAAAAAAAAAAAAAAAGGCGGGGGGGAATAGATTTCTCTAATCCAGTAGCTGTTATTGCTCCTTCCATTATTAAAGAAAGGTTTCCTTAACCTTTTTTACTTTTGAAGTAGTGTGGAAGTCGACATTTTATGTCATTGTTTTCTCCGAGTTAAGTGTGATATCCATTTAATTGTTGCAAGTCCTCAAACATGGCACGTGGAACTAGAACAGTCTACCCCAGTGAGCGAAATGAAGGCTTCAGTTCGACATTCCAACCACCTGAAGAAGGCCGATGCGTACAACGGCCGCAACGTTGTAATAAATATGGCGACAAAGTTGAGGACAGTAGTCTGAATAATGTAAATAATATCCATGATATTATCAGCATCCTTGTTATATCTCAGGCTGTTGCGATGGAGAAAAACGACCGTCAATAAAAGACAGGTGTATTTTAACATAAGAACTTATTTACAGTCTGATAACAGCAAGGATTTTTTTTTTGGATTGAAGACTTTTCAGCAAGTCACCATGTTTAATTCAGAAATACCACGGTCATCTTCCAGACAAGGGAAGTAACTGCGTTGTATTTTGAGTTGTCTTTTATAAGGAAGCACATCTAATTCCCCTAACACAGGGACGGTAACATTTTCGAGGGAATGGACCAAACACCTATGCAATGTTTCGGAAAAGGATTATGATATCAAATGCATTATAATAGATTGCTTGACCGCAGACCGTTCCGCCCACAAGGCTGGCTTGGTCAGGAAGTTTAAAGGAAAAAAAAAAACGAATTTAATGTTATATTGTTTAAACAAGGTTTCTTATTTTACTGCAGGAATAACAACACTACAAAAAATGCAAATTCCTTATTACGGTTAAGTTTGACGGCCGGACATGGCTTGGGGGATTGCCGACTCCTTCCCTAACTGTCATAAAAATAGTTGTCCTCTGAAGTCTTCATATGTGATAAAAATCATTTTTTTCTGAAGATGGCCATGCTGGCCGAAACTAGTCGAGGATTCTAATTGAAATAAAAACGAAAGAATATTAAATGTACAACCCATTGCGCCTGATGATTAATTTTTTTTTTTATTAAAAAAATAAAAATATTTTTGAGTCAGCAAAATTGACCATTTTTTTCCATTTTAAAAAAAACTGGAAATCTGACTGAAATTTTTAAAAATCAATTATTTTTTCAAAACTTATTTTAAGAAAATCAGAAATTATAATGTTTATTTAAAATATTTTGAACCAAACTTAGCTTTTGTGCGAAAAAGATGTAATTAGAAAATAAAACAAAGCAGGTCATAAACTTTCGCGTCTCTTGACATGTGATGAATATTTACGAATTCCAGGAGAAAAGTGAAATAATTTACATTTACGTGAACAAATTATTTACCCCGTTATTTTTAACGAAAACTTTCAGCCGTCTATTTTTTTTTTTTTTTTGTACTTAGCTTTCACCTTTACGTTTATGATGCTTTATGGGAAATATATTCTAAAGAAATTAAAATAAAACTGAGAGTGACATTAAATTTCATATTTCTTAAAAGGTATCTAATTAATTTATAGGTACCTTTCTTATGAAATTTTATCAGAATTGTGCATAAAATACTATAATTTTATGTACATTACATAAAACTGTTATTTGTATTCATTTTATTAATTTTGATATTTCATTTATGGAAAATTGTCGTAACTGAGATTAATATAAAAATAAGATCATATAAATTTCATAAGATGATACTGATACTTGTTGGTACCCTTCTCAGTTGAAATTGAAAAATCAAATAAACTTCTCCACACGTGTTTCGCAAAAGTAAAGGCCTTAACAGCGGAGAATAATGCTTAACTCAAATAACGCAACTTAATTATATTCTGGTTGGTCTTCCGTATTTTATAATTACAGCTTGATTATAAGCACAAAATTACATTTCTTAATTACGGGGGATCTGATTAGACAAAATGATACAATTTACAACGCGCTAAAAAAAGATCTATCTCATAAGGAGACTTAACTAATTTTATAATATTTTAACAACTTAAGTGTAAAATCTATTATAATTAATGAAATAACAAATAATTGTATTAAAAATTCATTTTTCATCGAAAAAAATTTTTTGCTTTCAGAAAATATTGTCCATATTCATAAAAGCAAATAAAAGCATTTGAAATTAAATAATATCTTTGTTTTATTGAGTTTTGTATGTTACAATTCAGAGCTGATTTTCAGGTACTGCGTATCCAATTAAAAAAAAAAAAAAAAAAACACACAAACATGATTTGCATTCCTCAAAGCCCTGTGCTTTTAATTATTGTAATCACTAAAACCGATGCGATCGAATTTCTAGCGTTTTCATAAAATTAGTTATGGGGTGGGGGGTGTAATATTTTTAAATATTTCTACCATGACTTTCATAAAAAAAAAAAAAAAAAACATTTATAATAATTTCGATCATCTGTGAATAGTTCCTGAAAGTTTCATTAACATCCGATAATTATTTCTATTTTTGCACGATTTTTCAAATTAATGTGTCATACCAAAAAAAGCGTGCTAAAAATTGTTATTTACTAGTTCCGCTGATACAAATAGAAACAAGGTTTTTTAATCAAAATTTAGAATTTTCTAAAAAAGGAAAATTTTTAAAATAATTAAAAAAACTTTGGTCTTTCCTCTTAATAATAACATAAGCATTTAGACAATAAAATTTTGTTTTCGGCAAGGTTGGCGTCTTTTTTTCATCAAGCTATGCTTTTTTTTTTTAGCGATTTCGTGGAGGTAATTATATATATATATATATATATATATATATATATATATATAATATATTTGAGGACCTGTTTCGTATATGAATTGTCACGAATTATTCCACCCTAATACATGAAATGACCTGTCCATTTGACTGGAGTGACCATGCCCGACGAGAGCTTTCTTAACGGAATAGAATTGTTTTGATTACTTACCATGACAAAGCCCAGAATCCAGACAAGCAATAGTTTGGGCTCAATTCCTGAAAAATGAGATCAAACAATGTATAGAGTAGACGTCGTTTCTGAAAGTGGACAGGAAAAAATAAAAGTCGACTAGATCATTAGAATTCTAGAATTATTTTATCGTTTACGATCAGCAATCTTCTCACCAAAATAAAAGCATTTCATCCGGGAATGGTTTTCAAAATTCCCAAGTTGCGATTAAGCTAGTCAGTTTTAACGATCTTTATCTCAGCCAGCTAGGAGCGGAAAAAAAAAAAAAGAGGCTTTAAATCATTGAGATTTTTTATACTAATGTTTGCTCCTATGCAAAACTCAAGAGCCACTCAAGCTAGAGAGCTACTGAATGAGAAAGTTTGAGGATATGTGGGAAAGAATTTTTTTTTTTTTTAAGTCTAGGTGTTTACCGTTAAGTTTGTAATGATCGGGGAAGTATCATCTTGGGAGTCGATTCAAAAAAGGTGCTATAAATATGAAAGTAAGGAGGAAGTGAAGTTTATGAGGATATTTGGGAAAGGTAACTTTTTTTTTTTTAATCTAGGGTTTACCGTTAAGTTTGTAGTGATCGAGAAAGCACCATCTTGGGAGTCGTTTCCACAAAGTAGGAGTTCGTGTGCAGAAGCTGTTCAAGTGAAGCTTCCTCCTTACTAAATGGAATACGGAATAAAAGGTGGTGCGACTGAACAGGGTACGGTGGGTCTCGGTTGTTAGGGTGGATGGGACTAAATGTAGCACGTAACATTTCCCGCGGAAATAGCGATACAGAGTAGCGAGAAGATCCCAACATTTCATCTATGGAGAAGTGGTTATAGGCTAGACAATAATTCACTCACTCACATGGCCTCGTGGGCGCTTTTGGAAAGTGAAGATGGCTAGCTTCAACCCAGATATGGCAGTACTCAGTTTTCGGTCTGATCTAGCTGTTAGATTAGATCATAAAAGGTATCAGTTACTGGCGCGGTACAAGGAACCCATCATTTTTTTTTTCCAGGATTTTTAACGATGGATACGAGTTCCACTTGAGGTCGGAGCTGAACTTGAATCCCAATATGTCTTCAAGGCATAACATTTTAAATTCATAAAAACCTAGCGAACCGATTGTTGAATTATCGGAAAATCTTTTATTAAATGGCCGATGGTCTTGGTGAAAAAAAGAAATGTTAGCGGCGCTTACGCACCCGCCTAGTGGAACTTCTACCAGTTCCTACTTGGGGGGAACGAGAATGGGGGAGGAGGGGACGAAAAAAAAAAAAAAAAAAATACTCCATAAAATGGAAATGGACCCTTCAAATTTTGTCGGTTTCAACCACTGAATAATTTTTTTTTTTTTTTTTTTTAAACCATAAACCGTCTGGCCTAAGAAAAAAAAATAGACGATTAAATATTTGTACAATGCTAACATATTTGCATAAAGTTTTTATGCTTTCAACTTTCTCGGGATCGCTTCGCGGCGTCTGGGGGAGTTAACAGGAACACAAAACCTGATGAGAGCTAAGAGGGATAGGGGAAGTGGAAGGCCATGATCGCCCACCCCCTGAAAGGACACGGCACATAAAAAGTAGTCCTGTAGTATAGAGGTAAAGCATTTTAACACTGGATGTGACTTAAAAAACGCAAATACAATGCAAGGGAAATAACTATGAACTTTCCCTTGATTATCTCCCTTACATCTACAAAATGATTTTAGCATTCACAATTCTGAAAAGGTTATCGTAATAGTTAACAGAAAAGTTTCATAACTTCATTTGTTAAATCACTGGTATATTTGTGCCACATTAAGACTAAAACATCAATTATATGGACAGGCATTTTTATTTAAGGTTTCGACAAATGTGCATTGAGGTAGCGTCAAGTAATCCTGAAGGAGATTTAATTAAAATTCTAACATTCGATTTTCGGGAACACGCCTTTCAGTCGAGTCGAGACGAAAGTATCAAACTCAAAAGATTGAACAGTTAAACCGATCGTTAATTCGGCTAAGAAAGCCTCCGGAAAAAAAAATCGCTATACATACTTCCTGGGTGTATCAATATTCTTCAAACTTTGCTTTTGTCACCAGGATAATGATGTCAAGCACTATTTGCATGTCAGACCATCGCCTCCGAGGGTCGATTCCAATGACCTATGTTCACATAGGCTATATCCCTGATATTGAGCACTTTAACCCATAAATATAACATACCTTAAAACTATATTTTACAGTATATGCATGCACGCGCATATATATATATATATATATATATATATATATATATGTGTGTGTGTGAAAGAGAGATGCAGTTCAATTTATATTACAGTATGGTTAATTGAGAATTTTACTAAAAACAATTTACACGCCTGAGGATGACTGTGTGTACAGTTGAAAGTACTAGCAGATTTTTAAAAGACCTTATACAGCTTTTAGTTATTAAAAACAAGGATCATAACATTTATCGAGTGGTTTGTGGGTTAATGCAACTTTAACATTTTGTTTGCGAAGATCGGATTTCCTACATGTTTCAACAAAACTTCACAGGACTACATAAAATTACCTTGTGGTGGTTCTAACAGCGCCAAAAATGGGAAAATACAATTGTTTTTGCACAAAATCAATTTGAAAACACGATTAAGAGACATCGTGAAAATGGAAGGGGGACAACTCACATCGGGTTTTTTGTGTGGGGGGGTCCTTTAAATGTGGGATCGGATTTCCTATATTTTTCAGCCGATAAAACAAATTCACTTTTTTTTTGGCAGGTAGTGTTTATTCTCTTGGACACTTTCTTTATTTTTAATATTCAGAAAGCTTTAAAAATTCCATTTACAAGACAATTATTTATAATAAAATTCTATTCAATCGGGAGACTCATAACGATTGAAAACAATGTTTTTGTTTGAGTTTGGGCTTGACCAATTTGTAAAAAAAAAAAAACTAATTATGACATGCGTGTCCGTCAACCTTAAACAATAATCTTTGTCAATTTTATTTTTCAGTCTTTATAATGGTGGATACTTGATCTATCTCTTACTGTTATATCACCGGGCAACGCCTGGCTCTACTGCTAGTATAATATATATAAGTATTATATATAATGAAATGTATGTACCGTACTTCCTCGATTTTACAGATTTCAATTATCCGCAGTAAACCAGTTTTAATATTTTATTTCAAATATTACGAGAATTATCCGCAATAAAATACTGTGAGTGGATTATTTAATCAACAAGGGCGTCTTAAGGGGAAAATACACTTCGGATTAAAGAGTTGAAAAGCTTCGAGAATTTAACAATATATTTTCTAAGCATAGTTTAGATATGGCACAAGACCGAAAGTATAAGGCACCCAGTGAGGTTCGGGTTCACTACTCAGTCGAAATTGTTCTAGCAAGACAAGCTTGCTAACTATTACACCGCCTCGAAGTACCTTATAGTGATTTTCTAAGCGTAGCTTAGATGTGGCACAAGGCCGAAAGTGTGGGGCACCCAGTGAGAAATGAACTCACTATTCAGTCGTAACTAACCTAGCAAGACAAGCTTGCTAACCATTATGCCACGTCGAAGTGACCAAACATGTTCTATTTTTGACAAGGGTAGATGGGGTGCTGATAATAATCTAGCTTAATGAGCTTGTGTAAAGATAAAAGAACGATTGTTAGGAACAGTAAGAAAACATTGCTAAGAGCTAGAAATGAGAGGTAGTTGTGGAGAGCTAGGATCGTCCATGTCCTGAAGGGACACGGTACATAAATAGGTGCAGGAGTTTCTTTTCACAATCGTTATATTTGTCATTCGCGTGAATTACGTTAATGTCTGCCATTAGTTATTTAACTATTTTGTTTGTTTATTTGCTTAAACCGTATCTCCTGATAGGCGTACATTTAAGTAAGCATTGCAGATTATGAATTGTGCAAGGTTATTTACTTCACCAACCCGCGAGGCACGGATGTGGCACAAGGCCGTTATTTAATACATGGCTAAAACGAATTGTACAAGTTATCCACACCCAGTAAATAAATGTATAGGACGAGGTCGAGCTCCAGAGAAAAATTAGTGCAAGTACCATTCATAATGGATGTGGGGTTTTTTTTTTGGGGGGGGGGTAAACCAAAATAAAAATTGTTTCCCGTAGTTTAAAAAAAATAAATAAATAAATAAATAAAATAAAAAAAATAAAATAAAAAATAAAACGTAAAATAAAAATCAGGGAATTATCCGATTTAACCAAATATTTTTTTTTTAACATATCACCCCAAGCAAGACGGGAGTACCACTAGCACGCAAGGGGGTTACAGAGGGTAGAGAACAAGAGTAAAGAGGCGTGTTTGGAGAGAGAGGATAAAGAGAAGGACGGTGAACAAGATCAGGGTATCAGAAGATGTCTATTAACATTACCCTTGAATATTTGAAGATTATAGTTATTGGAGAAGCAATTAAGAGGAAGGGAGTTCCACTGTCGGGAAGTGCAAGAGAAGTTGTTGGAGTAGAAGAGGCGGTTACATTTAACCGTTTCGACAGTGAAAGGGTGGGACCGAAATGCCAACCAAGTAGCACGCTTAAATTCATGCAGTTTGGGGGTGGGGGGTCATTAATGAATTAATTGTATGCGGAATAGATCATATTAAGTTTTGCAGATATTTGTGGGGATGGGCATTTTTCTTTTTTTTTCCTGTAAAATTGAATCGATCAGTGCAACAATTTTTTCCATTTTATATATATAAAAATTAAAATCTGTTTGAAATTATTTTAAAACTATTTTTTCAAAACTTATTTTAAGAAAACCAGCAATTGTTTATTTAAAATATTTTGAACCAATCTTAACTTAGTTTCTGCACCGAAAAGATGCAATTTGAAAATAAAACAAAGCAAGTCAAACTTTTGCGTGACAGGTGATGAATGACTGACAGATTTACCCGAGGATAATTCCTTATACGGAAGGAGAGAAGGGAAGTAATTTACATTTAAGTAAACAAATTATTAACCTCTTTATTTTTAAGGAAAATTTAAAATGCTCTTTTCTTCTTAGCTTTCACCTTTACGTTGCTTTATGGAAAATATATTATAAAGCAACTAAAATAAGTGTTAAGAGTGAGATTAAATTTCATAATTTATAATTAATTTATGAAATTTTTATCAGAAGTGTACATAAAATACTATAATTTTATATATATTTATTACATTTTACTGTGTTATTTGTATTTCCATTCATTTTATTAATTTTGATATTTCGTTTATAGAAAAATGTCATAACTGAGATTAATATAAAAATAAAATCATATAGATTTCATATGATACTTTTTAGGTACCCTTCTCAGTTGAAATTGAAAAATCAAATTAACTTCAACATGCGTTTTGCAAAAGTAAAGGCCTTAACAGCGGAGAACAATGTTTAACTCAAATAACGAAACTTAGTTGTATTCTGGTTGGTCTTCCGTACTTTATAATTACAGCCCGATTATAGACAAAATTACATTTATATACAGCAGGTCTGCGGATTAGTCAAAATTATACAATTTACAACATGCTAAAAAAAAAAAAAAAAAACTCATAAGGACACTTACGAAAGTGGATGCGGCTTTTAACCAATTTTATATTTTAACAACTTAAATGTAAAAATCTATTATAATTAAAGAAATAAGAAATTGTATTAAAAATTCATAGCCGATTTTCAGGTAGTGGGGTCCAATTGAAAACAAAAAACATGATTTGCAGTCCTCAAAGCCTGTGTGCTTTTAACTACTGAAATCACTAAAAAGTGGACTCGATCGAATTTCTAGAGTTTTCATAAAATTATTTGGGGGTGGGGGGTAATATAAAAAATATTACTGGCATGACTAAGCATTTTTATAATTTCGATCATCCGTGAATAATTTCTGAAAGTTTCATTAACATCCGGCAATTATTTTTATTTTTGCAAGATTTTCCAAATTAATGTGTCATACAAAAAAAAAAAAAAAAATTGTATTTTATTTTACTAGTTCCGGTGATACAAATATAAACAAGGTTTTTAAATCAAAATTTAGAAGGTTCTAAAAAAAAAAAAAAAAAAAAATTTAAAGAAAAATCATTAAAATAAGCTTTGGTTTTTCCTCTTAATAAACATTTAGACGATAAGATTGTTTTCGTCAAGTTTGGCGTCTTTTTCATCATGCTATGCTCTTTTTAGCGATCTCCTGAAGCTACCCAAGTAAAAACCAGAAAATCGTGCATGCTGACAAATTTGTTAATACTTTCAAACAACAAAAAAAAAAAAGTCAAAATCTATTTTCTGGAATGTTATTCGATAAAAATAACTCATTTAAAATTAAATTTAAGCTGAAACATTACTTTTAGTTTTAAATATTGTATTTTAACATGGCCGTGGGTGTTGAGATTTATTGAAAGCCTGATATTTGGGAAATCTAAGACTACAAAATTACATTACGAATACAACGTAAACGTATTTTCGATTTTTATTGACTAATCTTAAGTTAGAAATATTTTAAATTCTTGGGCTAGTCTTACGAGGAGACTTGAGAAAATGCTAATATAGAAAATTACCAATAAGTGTTAGGTTGACTATAATTATAGCTCTTTTTTTTAATGTCCGTTTTCAAAAGTCGGCTCGTTTATATACACACACAATTCAATTTTTTTTAAATACAAGGATTCGCTGAATTGTAAGTGTCTCCATTTATGATTAGTAAATATAGTTTTTACTTAACTATCATTTAACGTTACCCCCCTCCCCACTACAAGATATGGAATCTTACGATTTAAAAATATTTTATGTTTTAACGTTAAAGAAAAATTAAGACGATTGTAGAAATTCATTGTAATTTTTTTTTTCGGGGGTGGGGGGGAAGAGACAATGCCCGTAATATATATATATATATATATATATATATAAAATCGCTTAAAAAAAAAAAAAAAAAAACACGATTTCATAAAATTAAATAAGCGTGAAAGGAAATCTTTTCCAAGAACCCTTTCAAAAATTTTTCATTTTGAAATAATTAAAATCCGACAATGATCTCGTTTTTGCAAGAATTTGGAAATCAAAGCGTTTTACTCCGCAAAAAGGCGCTCAATTAGATTTTTTTAAAAGAATTTTTAAAATAAAAAAGTAAAATGAAAGATAAAATAATTCCTACATCCAAAAATTTAGTCTTTCCTATTATAAAGTCTACAGACATTTTTTGTAGTGCATGCTCATTTACTTTTAGCGAATCTATGGCAGCTTTAAACCTGCCTACCACGGCTTGCAAAGAGATGGCTGGTAGGACATAATATACACAGATTCCAACGCTTATGTTCTTCTCAGCATGGATAACATGTACCAGCTATAAGAACGGGAACAATACAGGTTTTTTTTAATCAAATATTCAACAATCGCTGAAACATTAACGAATCTATATAAACTGTCCACCTCTTAAGACTAATATTAGATTCTCAAATTCATGATCTACATTTTCGTTTATCATTGAACGCGCCAATGTTTGATAAGTTTCTAAAAACATACGGGAATTTTTATGTGAATTATTTTTAGGTTATCGTCTTTCAAATCCTTTAAGACGCGTTTAAATTCTATAAAATCAAGTGTGTGTGTGTGTAACAGATGAAAATTTAAGATTTTCTTAAAAAAAAAATTTTGAGTCCTGAAAAGTCCATTAAAATCCAACAATTATGATTTTTACAAGAATTTCCAAAATGTTTTTTTTTTTTCTTAACCGTTAAGTTTCCCATAGTAATCGTCGAAAATTTCGAACGTGCTAAGATTTAAAAAAATTAAAACACTTTGGTCTTTCCTCTTTTGGAAAGATTTTGACGATAAAGCTTTAAATTGATAAATCCGATTAAGTTGCTATATAAAAATTTTCAATGCTTTGTATGCCAAAATATTCACGGGTTGGCCTTAACTGTCGTAGACAGTGGCTTGGTAAAAGGGAAGGCTCCCAGCCACAGCTGAGAAGGGAACTTCATGGGCAAAAGATTCTTCTTTCAATCTGGTGGGATCGCCAAGGAATAATCCACTTTGAATTCTTACCACCTAATGCAACAATTAATGCTCAAATATACTGTCAGCAATTAGAGCGTTTGAATCAAGCTTTGAGGAAAAAAAATATCTGCTCTAGTGAATCGAAAAGGTGATGTTTCATCAGGACAATGCGCGACCCCATACAGCAAGAACCACGTCACAAAAGATCGAAGAACTTGCTTGGGAGAAAATTCCTCATTCCACTAAACAAAGCGGGGTTTTATTACGATAAAGCCTTCAAATCCCGACTGTATTAACGGATTATCTCAGCTATTTATAACAGAACTTCCTTATACCCCAAACTAGAGACTTATTGAAGAGTCTCATTGTAAAGCACAGGTCGGCAACTTTTTGCGGAACGCGGGCCAGGAGTCTATGCAGGGTCTCTGAGATAGGCCATGATATCAAATATGCTATAGTAAGTTCTCGACCTCAGACCTCTCCATCCAGAAGGACGTCTTGGCCTGGAAGTTTAATGATAAAAAAAAAAAATGAAGTTAATGTTATATTAAAACAAGGTTCCTTATTTTACTGCAGGAAAAACAGGATAACTAAAAATGTAAATCCTTACTACAAACGAAAATTAGAAATTGAATTATTCAACGAGTCTTGTTTCCGCTTATTGTTCAAGCACTTCTCCACATCAGAGTGAAATACTTGATGGCAGACACAAAACATTCCGGTGATCAACCTTGTTCTTAAAACGACTTAGGTTATTTCATTTTTGCAAAACGTTCACAAACATATGCCTCTAAATAATGATACCGTCATTTTTGCATTATTCGATAGGCTTTAATATTTTCCCGCTTGACAAAACAGTTCGGCAATGGAGTCAGAATTAAGTTTTGATTTAAAAATTTAAATGCATTGTATGCCGATTAACTCCAACTGATATTTTTTCTGTCATTTGCTCGATAAATTAAGTAATTTGTGTCCAGGCGTTTAAGTTGACAGTCCAGACAAAAATCCTCCGCGGACGATGGGTGGCATTGCCGACCCCTAGTGTAAAGGATAAACGTTTAAGGAGAGTTGCCGTATTTCTGTTGGCAGAGGGTTCTTGCCCTTAGTTTTAGCTATGGTTATACTCCACCACTAGCTCTTGTCCTTTAGAGTTTGAGGAGAGTTCTAATTTTTCGGGTAGGATTACAATCGCCTTAAAATGAAAAGGTGAGATTCGGCACGTGTAGAGTTTTCCTCTAACCAGGAACACAAAAATTAGGTTACTTATTTTTGAGCGATAGAAATAACAATTCTCATTCAATAAGTTTTACAGACTGTTCAAGAAAAACACAGAATGAAACTGAACTGCCTTTGTATTTAAAATTTTAAAGTAAATTTTTTAAAAAAATGGCTAAATTTGTAATTTTTAAGCTATAGGTTCTCAAAAATATAGAAAAAAAAAAACAAAAAAACAAAAAACACACGAGCCTCGCATAGATTAAGGCGAAACATGACCGTCAGTATCAAAATGAGAGACAGGCCTGCATTTTGCAGGATAATTGGTAACTATTTTTAGTAGAACACCAATGTGTTAGTTTCTGTATAAATCGTGTCCTCAACATTGGGGGGGGGGGATAAAGAAGAGAGTTTACATTACTCACGCATTTTGGCTTAAATTTCAGTTGACCAGTAACAATACAGCTGCAAGAACAGTTTTATACGGTGACCATCTCAATTCCTCCACTTTTTTTTAAAAACTTGGTGGGGAGAAAAACTCGTACAAATACAGACGGGTTTATTTCCAGTAAACAAAAAAAAAAAGGAAAAAAAAAAAGTGAACTCCTCTTTTATATTTTGTTAGCCGGAAGTCAACCAGAGCGCGTGATGAGATTCTAAGTGGCCATAGAACAAAGTAAATATCGTTGTGGGCGTCATTATATTTACAGAAGACAAAAAAAAAAACCGTTGCGTAATGATAAACAAGATTGTACCCTATATTTACTACTATGAAATAGTGAGTTCGAACTACGCAGAGTTCTCAACACAAGCATCAGTTTACCAGATTAAAGCATCTATGAGATAACAATATATAGTTTTATATATCAAGAACATATATATATATATACACACATACATATATATATACACATACATACATATATATATATACACACATACATATATATATATATACACACACACACATATATATATATATATATATAGATAGATAGATAGATACACCTAGTGAGCCAGACAAACCTACCTAGGTTTCACCTAAACGGATCGTCTGGGAAAGTAAGTCTTTCGAAACGAGTCTACTTATGTATAACTAGCAGTAGAGCCCGGCGTTGCCCGGGGGATGTAACAGTAAGAGATAGATCAAGTATCCACCATCATAAAGACTGAAAAATAAAATTGACAAAGATTATTGTTTAAGGTTGACGGACACGCATGTCTTAATTAGTTTTTTTTTTTTTTTCTTTTACGAATTGGTCAAACCCAAATTCAAACAAAAACATTGTTTACAATCGTTATGAGTCTATCGATTGGTGAATAAAATTTTATTATAA